ACGTTTGGCTGATTTGATCAAAACAGATACCGGGCTGTCACCAGCTCATAAAGCCGCTGTGATCTTCCAACCCGCTGTGGGCAGCGGCTCTAGGACCCAAGGGGCTCTGTGGAGTCACAAACCCTCTGCAAACAGCGTCCTTTCTTTCCCCAGCTCTGGAAGGGGCCCTGCATCGCTCGTCCACACAGCCTGACAACTCCTCCGACAGTGACTACGACCTGCACGGGGCTCAGCGGCTGTAACGGTGAGCCTGTCTCCAGCCTGACCCCAGCACCCCGGGGTCCCCCACAGTCCTGGGGGTGATCAGCAGCCACTCAGTGCCTCCCCTTGGTCCCGCCCTGCCCATACATGAATAGGGGACCCCCAGCATCTTTTTTTTTTTTTTTTTTTGAGACGGCGTCTTGCTCTGTCGCCCAGACTGGAGTGCAGTGGCCGGATCTTGGCTCACTGCAAGCTCCGCCTCCCGGGTTCACGCCATTCTCCTGCCTCAGCCTCCCGAGTAGCTGGGACTACAGGCGCCGCCACCTCGCCCGGCTAGTTTTTTGTATTTTTTAGTAGAGATGGGGTTTCACCGGGTTAGCCAGGATGGTCTCGATCTCCTGACCTCGTGATCCGCCCGTCTTGGCCTCCCAAAGTGCTGGGATTACAGGCTTGAGCCACCGCGCCCGGCCCAGGGACCCCCAGCATCTTGACTGTTGTAAAGGGAAAGACAAATGTCAGCTGTTTAGGTTATACGAGCTGGTCTGACAACTAGAGCAGAGGAATCATGGACCTTAACAATCAACTCTTAACTCCATGCGGAAGGCCACACAGGCAGAGTCCCTACGAGCTCCGTGATGGAACCACACCCCTCCAGAGCTGCCAACCTGCCAGCGGGGAGAAGGAGCCCCCGGCTCAGGACAGCAGCCATCCCCAAGATGGAGCCCAAAGCATGGGTCCTGTCCCCCACCTCCCTGCATCACCTCTGCAGCGTCTTCCTCTAACATGTTTCCTTCTCACCCCACAGAACTGGGATCCAGGAGCAAAATGCCAAGAGCCAGACCTGCTTGTCCTGAGAAAACTGTCCGCTCTTCACGTGAAATGATGTCCCTATTTCTACCCCGGCCAGAACATGGACAGAGGCCAGGAGCCTTCCAGACAGGCGCTGCTGCTCCGAGTGGCAGGCCAGCTTACACTGCTGCATGACAGCTCGGCCGCCCCTCCACGCGTGGAAGCTGTGGCGGGCAGAGCCCCAAAACAAGCAGCCTTCCAACTAGAGACTCAGGGGTGTCCGAAGGGGGCCCCCTTTCCCTGCCCGCTGGGGAGCGGCACCTGAGTGAAATCGGCTTTCTTCTCAGACTCTGTCCCTGGTAAGCAGTGACAAGGAAGCTCACAGCTGGGCGAGTGCATTTTGAATAGTTCTTTGTAAGTAGTGCTTTTCCTCCTTCCTGACAACTCAAGCGCTCCGGCCTCTTCTGTGCAGCCTCCACCCCTGCGGATCCCTCAGGGGAGGCACAAGAAGAGGACTGCCGGGGACCTCTGCAGCCATGGTGGTCAGAGGCTGCTCACCTGAGCACAAAGACAGCTCAGCGCGTTCACCGCAGCTGCCAGCCAGGGTGACCGCTGACCCACAGCCTCACCCCACTCCCTCTGTCTTATGACTCCCCTCCCCAACCCCCTCATCCAAAGACACCTTCCTCTCCAGAGAGCAGGGACCACCAGCTGTCAAGCCCACAGGGCACGAGTGCCAGCCAGGGCCCTGCGCAAAGGGATGCCTAGTAAACCTTAACCAACTTGGTTTTTTGCTTCACCCAGCAATTAAACGTCCCAAGCTGAGGTAGCATCAGCCCATCACAGTTCATCTTCTAACCCAAGAGTCAGAGATGAGGCTGGTCATGTTCCCTTTGGTTTAAATAACTCCCTTGACTAAAACAGACTCCTCTAGTACTTGGAGATCTTGGACATACACCTAATCCAGTGGGACCTTGGCTTCCTTAACTACAAGTGAGAAGGGGAGGTCCACCCAGGAGCCTCGGGTCTGATCAAGGGAGAGGCCATGCGGAGCTCACTGTGGCGGCTCCCTAAGAAGGTGAAGCAATGTGGGAACACATCTTGAGGACGGGGCCTTTCTCCACACCATTTGATGCTATTATCTTCTGAGAGCATAGGCATCAATGGTCCAAGCCACAGAATCTAAGTCTGGAAGAGCAAAGGGAAGTTACTAGGACATGAGGTGTGGTAATCCCAGAATCTGCTCAGCTTTCCACCCACCACCAACACCTTCCAACCAGGCCTTGCCTTCTGAGAGCCCCCGTGGCCAAGCCCAGGTCATAAATCTTCCCCTGACCATGCTGGGAATCCAGAAACAGGAACCCCATTTCTCTTCCCACATCTGGTGGAGGTGAGGGGGCTCCTCAAAAGGGAACTGAGAGGCTGCTCTTAGGGAGGGCAAAGGATCTGGGGCAGGCAGTGTCTCCCATCAGTGCCTTTTTTAATAAAAGCTCTTTCATCTATAGTTTGGCCACCATACAGTGGCCTCAAAGCAACCATGGCCTACTTAAAAACCAAACCAAAAATAAAGAGTTTAGTTGAGGAGAAATGAGTCTTTAGAAAACTGTTTTTCAAGGGGTGGCTGACTTAGGTGATGCATTTCAAAAAGATGTTTGGTGATGCGATGGAATAGAAGCATTTTAGTCTTCAAGGTGTCGCTGTTGAGTTCCTGCCTTGGCTAGAAAAGGCAACCCACTGCTCCCCCAGCCAGTGCTCAGGAGGCTGGTGTCCATTTCCCCCGGCTGTGGAGGACGCACTTCCGTGACCTGGACAACCTTCCCATTCCTGCATCCCAGCAACCTGCTAGAACAGGGTCACCCCTTCCACTCACCTGTGTGTCTCTCAAACACTGCCCATTCCCCAAAGTAAATTATGTTCCTGGCTAAATCATGGGACCTGGCCAATAAGTGTTTGGGTGTGCAACCCCTGATTCTAGCACATTAGGTCAAGGATACCAAGGACCAAGCAACAAGTCTAGCTTTCACATTGTCACGTGGCCGGACATGGTGGCTCATGCCTGTAATCCCAGCACTTTGGGAGGCCAATGTAGAAGGATTGCTTGAAGCCAGGAGTTCCAGACCAGCCTAGGCAACAAAGTGAGACCCCATCTCTCCCAAAAAGAAAGTTTTCAATTCGCTGAGCATGGTGGCACATGCCTGTAATCCGTTATTCAGGAGGCTGGTGCAGGAGGATCACCTGAGGCCAGGAGTGAGGCTGCAGTGAGCCATGATCTTGCCATTGCACTCCAGCCTGGGCAACAGGCTTTTTTTTTTTTTTTTTAAATATACAAATAATTAGCCAGGCATGGTGGCACACACCTGTAATCCCAGCTACTCAAGAGGCTGAGGCAGGAGAATCGCTTGAACCTGGGAGGTGGAGGTTGCAGTGAGCCAAGATGGCGCCAGTATACTCCAGCCTGGGAGCCACATGAGTGAGATTCTCTCAAAAAGAAAAAAAAAAAGTTATCATGCACCCAGGGACCTGGGAGTACAGAGAAGAAGAGAGCTGTAAGGACGTGACATTCATATGGCCTCACCACATCCAGCAGAGCAGTGTCCTAAGCTAGGAATCTAGAGACTCTAAATTTGATGCTTAGGGTCTGTCCCCCTGCAGCGGGAGGCCCACTGTAGTCTGGTGAAAGGCAGCCAGTGATCTCCCAGGGATGCAGGGAGGGAGGCACGAGGAGTGCGTGTGTGTGCTGCCCTCTGAGGTGAGGTGGCCAGGGAGAGCAGGAGGCAAAAAGCACAGGGCGGGACACGTGGGCTGACCAGCTGAGGCAGCTCATGACGGTCCTTTCTTAGAAAGTCGGCCCCTCCGTGCCCCCTGCCACCACTCTGGCACCAACCCAAGGCAAGTGACCTATGTGCCTAGAGGGAGATTTGTAGCCTCTTCCTACAAAGCCAAATAGCTTCCAGCTGTCCCTGATGTCCTGTGTCCTCAGCCTTGGGCACCTGCAAGGCCAGGCCAGAGTTCAGCTGGGGGTGAAGGGCAGTAAACATTTGACCAGAGCCCAGCGACTCTCAGCTCTGTCCTTGGGAGGCGCTTCTGGCACCACCAAGGCAGTGGGGAGGAGCCCCTGTGCCTCTGAAATCCAACTGACCCAGTCCAAGTCCCACCTCCTCCCAAGGCTGTGCAACATGCTCACCGAACCACCTGCCCTGTGGTTTCCTCCCATTTAAACTGGGGATGAAAGGGCTGTTGCGAAGACTCCAGGAGATAATGCGCCTGAAAGCACAGCACAGCCTGCAGCCCTGCTGAGTATTTAACACTAGCGATTCAGGGCATCTCTAGGCATCCTCCGCAGGCGGCCACCCCTGTCACCTTGCAGGGAAGGAGAGGCGGAGGGCTGACTTGAGGGACTGTTAGAAGTCCGGTCTAAGGATTCCCTCAAAGCTGCCCGTCCTGCTGAGCTGAAGACGCCCTCCCCAGCCGCGGGACAGGCAGCTCAGCAGCAGACCTCAGGGCGACACTGGGGACGGAGGCACGCTGGGCCAAGGCCTAGAAGACCGTTGGTGCCGCAGCCAGTTTAGCGGCCGGCTGTCCCTCTGAGCACATCCTGCAAGCCCAGGTTAGAATTAGATGGGTCTCAGACAGGCTAACATGCCGACGTCCCGCCAGTCCAGCAGGTGGCAGGATCACGGCACCTCCCGAGCGGGCTGAGGACCAGACGCCCCCTCGTGGCATCCTGTGGCCTTGCATGCCATTGCTCTCGGTCCAGGACAAGGCAAAACGCAGGCTCCAACAGGAAAACCGCTAAGAAGGAAAGTGGAAGAGCGGGAGAGGGAAGGTAAATGCTCCCAGGGCCAGCCCTGGGGTGAGCAGGCAGGGGAGGGCTGACATCCAGACGGATGGGGCTTTGGGATGTGAATCACAGAGGCCCCTCCACAGAGCACGATCTGAAGGCCGCAGAAGAAATCAAGGCATCCACATGCAGCCACGTCTTCACTCAAAGCCACCAACACCACACCACATGTGACTCATCAAAGTTTATTATGGCAATTAATTACACAAACATACAGGCGGTCGGTCATCCAGCTCAGAAGCACTCAAACCAGTAGAGTCCATTAGTGATTTCTCTTTATAAATAACTTAGGAGAAGCAAGCACATTTGGTAAAGAACCGGCACCGCGGACCGAGCGTCACGCAGATGGCACATAGGCCGGGGAGGGGCAGGCACCAGAAGGTCAAGGTCTCTCCTTGGCCCCAGCAGCCCCAGGCCCACCAGACGCTGGGTCCTCAGGTAGTGGACATTTCAAGGCACGTACAACTTCCTAAGCAATAGCAGCTCCAGGCTCTTCCCTGAGACCTGGTTTACCTCTGGAACAACCAAGTTAACACTCATCACACCCCTTTGTCTATTGTCTTCATTCTGATTACTGAACATGCCCCAATCCCCACAGTGCAGGGGGCTGCATATTACACAGAGCCATAATCCCCACCCTTTACATTCTGAAGACAGGGAGGTGCGAAAAAACTGCCCCTATGTAGTGATGGTGTTTTTTAAAAAGCACCATTTGGGAAGTTACGTTAGGGCCTCTTTTGATGCCTTAGGATGGACACTGGGGGTGGGAGGATTACATCAAAGGAGTGAGGGGCAGGGGAGGGAAAGGGAGGGGGCTGCTTGTGAATGAGATTCAAGGCACTAAAGGAGTGGATGGATGCGTGGGCCTCGGGCAAAGTCACCCTAAAGTGGGGGGTCCCAGAGGAGAGAAGGGTGGCTGGGGAGGTGACCTGGCCCTCCACTCCTAAACGAGGCCCAATGTGACCACAATCTCCAGGGCTAGAGCTGCTCCCTTCCCTCTGGCCAGAGGGCCCAAGGCAGCCCCCTGGGTTCTCCAAATAGTGCAAGCAAGGTCTGGGGACAATCTTCACGACCCCCAGCCTTCTTGCTGCACTGGCGCTGCCGCCACTCAAACAGGACACAGGACAAGCTTGTCTGACATCAGGTACTGGAGTTAAATTATGGCTTTATAGGACTCAAACCTGTTGTTTTTCCCAACTCTGTTCTCTCCCTCCCATCCAACCCCTGCCACAGTGCGTGGGCAGGCTAGCCTTGAATGGACTGGACAGACACCAACAGCTGCATCCCTTGGCATGGGGCTCCACGTCAAATATGCCAAACCCCAGGGGAGCCGGAGGGGCTGGAGACCCGGGGCCTCCTCCTCGAGATAACTCTGCACTGGGTTCAGATGGCCCTGAGCGCAGCCGCAAGTAGATGCTCATAAATGTGCGCACACGCTCACTCACACAGACACCGGCGAGAGGTGCCGGACCCCAGCCTGGCTAGCACCACTACAGCCAGGCACTGAAAGTAGGGGCTTCTAGGAGGACCTCCGGCCAGAGGGCCAGCAAGTGCCGTGACCAGTCACACTGCCCAGTGCCTTGTCCCTCCAAGGCCTCTGGGTGCCAACGCAAGTCCACAGGGAGCACCAACGCCACCTCCAGTTGACCCTCGAATCTCGGCGATGGCTGGGCCAAAGGTTGAGCGTGGGTGGGACTCGGGAGGGGCCGAGGGCCAGGAGTACGGCTAATACCCAGGCCAGGCAGGCCCCGGGGGCGGTGGAAACCCATAGGGAGGGGCGGGCCCGGGGGGATAAGGGGGCTGCGGGGGCAATGAGGGCTGGGGCTGGCCTGGGAAGCTGCGGAGCTGGGGCTGTATTGGGTAGGGAGGCTTTCCTCCTGTTGCAGGATATGGAGACTGTTGAGGATAACCAGGACTGGGGGCCCTGCCTCCCGCCAAGGGGTAACCAGGCCCAGAGGTGCCAGTCGGGGTCCCAGGATAGCCCGACCGGGGTGGCGTGCTCCTCTGTGGGGACCAGGAGTAACCCACGGCACCCCTGGGTCCAGGCTGGGCTACCGGGTAAGTGGGGCCCAGAGGCCCGCTGTAGAAGGAGGGCTGGGACACCACCGGGAAAGGGGCCGGTGGCAGGGCTCCATGGGCAGTGGGGCCCACAGGCAGGCTGGGGGACGGGCTGTAGGGCAAAGGGTAGGGAGGCATGGCTGATGGTGGCTGCGGCTGCTCTTCAACCACAGGGGGCGTTGCCTGGGGGACTGGGCGCGCCGGGGGTGGCGGGCGGGGTGGGGGGGCATCGCCAGCCAGCTCCTGGGAAGCCCTGGGCTTCCTCACCACTTCCTGGAGTTTTTCCACGCGAACCCGGCGCAGGTGGGACAGCATCCTCATGGAGGAAAAATTCTCCAGGAACGTTTCCAGGGGCACCTCGCCCTCCAGGAACTTCTCAGCCATGGCCTGGAAGACGTAAGGTCCAGTGACAACAGGGGCCGGCTGGGATCAAGGTCTCTTGTTTTTCCCCAGGGTCCAAATTCAGCTACAGCCCTCCCACCTCGCGCTGCCTCGGGCACCCCCTCCTCCTCCCTGGCCATATGCCCCTTCTCACAGCTGACAGATGGTACATGCACTGTCTCCCTCACTAGAACGTCAGTCCCTCGAGGGTGAGAACTGCCTCTGTCATGGTCACCTCTGTCCTGGCGCCCTGGCATCAGGCCAGGCCCACAGTGGCCACTGCATGTATGTACTGAACACCTGGCCGAGCACTAGCCCAGGGACTGGCAGGGCCTGGAAGCTTCTTCCACCCAAAGTGGACAGCACCAGTTTGCCCACAGAGGCTGAAGAGGTGGCCCGGACGGAAGCGGGAAGCAAGGAGAGCAGAGTGAGGGGCTGGCCTCAGCCCCTGGGGGCTGCCTGCTGTGCTGCCCTCTCATCCAGGGCTGCAAGCTGCCCTTGTCCACTATCACTCGTTTCTGCTTCAGCTAGGGGGACTGAGTTCCTGTTATTTGTACCCAAAAGGCCTCCCCAGGACTAAAGATGTCCTTCACCTCTGCCATCTACGAAAGCTCCTTTGTCCCATGCTTTGCAGACATCTGCTCCTCCTTCCAAGGGCCCCTGCTGCAGGGACTGACACCCCGGCGAGGGAAGGGGGGTGTCGCCTCGCCCTCTCACCTCGGACTCTTCTTCAATCTTCATGCCTTCCACCTGCAGAAGGTCTAACAAGGTCCCTGGCTGCAGTGCTGAAGAAAATTTCTCTGGAAGGGAGGAGGGAGGGCAGAACGACTGGCATTTGAAAAGTGCTTCCTGATTCGGTGTTAAAGGCACTTAGCATGCCCTCTGTGTGCATCCAGGCCCAGCCACCACCCCAGGGTCCACCAAAGGGTCCTTTCGGGTGGGCTTAATGGGCACTTTTGGTCCAGTTCCTTAGACTACTTTCCTGAGCAGAGAAGGGCCCGACTGAACCCAGCCTCGACCTTGGCCAAGCCTCCCCTGCACCATCCTGGGAAGGGAAACGACTCGGGCTTCAGAGCCCGACCGACCCGGTTCTGCCTGCCAGCCAGGGGAGTCACCTAATCTGAGCGTGAAGCTGTCTCACCATCAGGACGACTGCCCTCCCACCTTCAAACGTGACAGGTCCTGGGACACAAAGAGCCCAGAGCAGCTCAGGAGCAGCTCAGCAAAGCACAGAAGCTGAGCTGCCAGGGGTAACAGCGGCAGCAAAGGATGCAGGCTGTCTGGATTCAAATCCCAACTCCACCTATTTCTAAGCTGGGTGACCGTAGCCAAGTTCTTGAATCTCTCTGAGCCTCATTTTTCTTACCTATAAAACGGAGTAACAACAGTCCCCACCCTTCTACGGCTGTTGTCAAAAACCGTACATAAAGCACTTAGCACAGGGCTGGGAACACGGTGGGCCTCAGTAGCTATGGGCCTTGCCCATCCTGGGGAGGGGACAGGGAATCCATCCTTCATGCTGTTCCAGCTGCTCAGCCCCATCCAACCCTGAATGGGGACCCTGAGTTCACAGAGGAGCCACCCTACCCAGCTTTGCCTTCTGCTCCTGGCACCGCTCCACAAGCTTCCGGAGCTCCTGGTATTTATCTGAGAGGTTTGAGCGGCTGATCTCCAGGGGTCCCTGGAACTCCAAGTTCTGCTCCGCCAGGCTCCGGTTGGTGGCCAGTGCCATCTCCCGTTCCAGCTGCAGGTCCTGGACCTAAAAGGACAGGACAACAGAACCTAAGGAAAACGTCCACCACCCTGAACCTCCTGGCAGCCTGGGTCAGGGCCTTCGGGGCACATCCTCACCTTGGGGTGGAGAGGCTCATCCGTGGGCGATACTCAGCCCTCAACTAGTCAGACAAAGCCAGGTTCAAACCCTGAACGAAGTACTCTGCACCTCACTTAATCTTTTAACCCACAGCCACAAGGTGGAGACGCATGGGAACCTGGAGCTAAAGGTGAAGAGCTTGCCCAAGGCCACGTGACTGATATCCACGATGGAGTGTGCAGAGCCCCAAGGAGGGGCTGGACCAATTTACATGAGAAAATCAGAGGCTTTCTGGGAAGGGACCAAAAGTCCAAATTACTTATCCCCAAGCTTCAGAGTGAAGAGACCTACCATGGTGGACTCAGGTGGCCCTGGCCAGATGCACAGGCAAGACATGCAATGAGGCCCCAAAGTTATTGTGAGGGGTGAGAGAGCCAGGGCCCTGGACCAGACCATGCCACTGACTTAGGAGACACCTGGACCTGCCTCCTATGCGGCACGTGTGTCCTGCAGAGAAGCTGCACAGATGAGCCAGAGGGGCCACCCTGGACATTCCCTGCTGCAAACACTTCCCCAAGCCAAGTGGCACACTACTCCTCTGCCAGCTCTTCGTCACTGCCAGCCAGTGAGGCAGAAGCCAAGGCACCCTTCCCAGCTGCTGTGATCTCATGCCCCATGAATCCACCAAAGAGTCCTCTCCTGAGAGGAGGGCTGAGGAGTCAGACCCGCACGCTGAGCCAGCGGTGACAGTACACTGACAGCAGCATGGGGCACCAGAAGACAGGCCTCGGCACCTGCCACAGGGTGCAGGGAACAGCTCAGCAAGACCGACTCTGAGTCAGGCCCTCACTGTGCAGCTTCTCCACCATGGTCAGCGTGTGACAGACCAAGCCGGACTGACTCATGCCCCACCAGACATAGGAAGCCCATGGGCATTCTGAAAGAGGAGGCTTCAGGGAAAGGCTGCCCCTCCTGCTGTCCCAGCTACAGGGGCCTAGGCCTGCACTCTGGGGCAGGCCCATAGCCTCTTCTTTGTGCTCCAGATTGGAAAGAGGAATGCCACAGCTCCCTGCCCTTCCTGAGCCCTCCAGACGAAGCTGCCATGGTTCAGGGATTGTAGGGCCCAGGGGTCTATCCAGCCTAGAGCCCACGCTGCTGCCTTCTAGAGACATGGTCTCACTCTGTCGTCTGGAGTGCAGTGGCATGACCATAGGTCACTGCAGCCTCGAACTCCTGAGCTCAAGCAATCTTTCAGCCTCAGCCCTTCCAGTAGCTGGGACTACAGGCACGTACCACCACGCCTAAGTTCTTTCATTTTCTGTAGAGATGGGGTTTCCCTATGTTGCCCAGGCTGGCCTCAAGCAATCCTCCCATCTCATCATTCCAATAGCTGGGATTACAGGCAGTAACCACCATATGTGACTCTCAATCTAATTTTTATTAGCCATGGAAACTTTATTTACATGGCTGACCCAGAGTGAAAGGCCTAAAGCCCTCCTGCTCACCCATCCCTTGCAGGGCCCCATGGATCCTCTGGCCTTCCTATACGTCCACTGCCTTTTCGTTGCGTCTAAACCAACAAATCTACGCTGTATCATTTTCCCCTAAATCTTGCCCTACTTATTTCTGCTCCCGGTCCCCACAGCCTTCTGACATCTTTCTCCATGAAGTGGGTCAATGGGTAGAAACATACAGTTAGAAGAAATAAGTTCTAATGTTCAACAGCAGAGTAGGGTAACTATGGTCAGCAACAATGTATAGTATATTTCAAAGTAGCAAGAAGCATAAAATGTTCCCAACACACAGAAACCACAAATACTCAAGGTGATGGAGACCCCAAATGCCCTGACCTTATGATTACACATTCTTTTTTTTTTTTGGACAGAGCTTCGCTCTGTTGCCCAGGCTGGAGTACAATGGCACAGTCTCGGCTCACTGCAACCTCTGCCTCCTGGGTTCAAGCGATTCTCCTGCCTCAGCCTTCCTTGTAGCTGGGACTACAGGCATGTGCCACCATGCCCAGCTAATTTCTGTATTTTTAGTAGAGATGGGGTTTCACCGTGTTGGCTAGGCTGCTCTCGAACTCCTGACCTCAGGTGATCCATCCACCTCAGCCTCCCAAAGTGCTGGGATTACAGGCGTGAGCCACTGCGCTCAGCCTGATCATCA